TTCTGGTTTCAGCTGTATGTCACTAAACACTTCAGGAAGAGAAACTGAAGAAATGAAGAGCAGAAAACAGTGAAAAGCAAAATTAATCCTGTTTCATTCATTATATGATAAAGTGCAGTGAAACACTGGTGACGGTTTGTTTACACGCGTCTCACCATCTGATCCAGTTTCTTTCTTTATTAGATTAAAATGTATCTGGCTGTAATAAACAGGAATTATCCCGAAAGCTGTGAACATGAAAAAGAACGGTTCCTGATTAACTGGACCTCAATTCATTCCACACGGGAATCAGATCTTTTCATGCATGAAGAAAAACGAGGAATGGTTCTATTTTGAACAGAAACATGTGTCCAGCACTTCACCTTTCACCATTTTTCAAAGTTCAGTTCGACATGTGGAGGTGAACTTTTAGGCTCAGAGAGATTTTAACCCTGAGTCACTGTAAACTACCTGAACTCCAACAGGCCTCGTCTGAACAAATACTGAACTTCTGCAAAACCTTTCTGGATCATCTGGATTTTATCTCATCCATGTGGAGCAATTTAGGTTTTGTTTGAAACTAGCGGCTGCTCCAGAACCTTCTCACATAACCGAACTGACCTCCACCCAGCCGTCGATGCATCGTTCAGTCCCCACGGAGCAGCAGGACGACGGCAGCGTCCCGTTCAGAACCTCAAACCAGTCCGTCTTATTGGTGACTCCGCAGCATTTGAACTGGGACAGCAGACACACAGCATCGTTTGACAGTTTTCTCTTCACAACCAACACAATTCATCTGACCCTGTTTTTCTCCCTTAAAGGTTTAAAAACATCAACACCACAAAGCTCAACAACGTGGAGCTGTTGTTCTCTTAGGGCTCCTCCAGATCCACAGCACAGCTGTACATATGGATAAATGTGGCCGTGCACGCGTACAGACAGGCTTTATTTTCAGTCTTGTTGTACTTTGAGATTTCTTGTTGCTGCTGTAATGTGTACATTTCCACAAACTCCCACCTACATCTTCTCTATATCCTTGTATTCTGGGTTATTCTGAAGCTCTGTGTATTGTTCTCACCATTTTCTGCACGTTGTCCCAGGATTTCTTCAGTCCAGGTTCCGACTCATAAATCTTCATCCCTTCCTTTAGCTCGTTTTGAGCTTTTGAATCCAGCTGACATTGAGAGAGAACGACACGGAGACACTCGTTTAAATGATCTGCTGTTGGTTCTGGTCTGGTTCTAGTCGGCATGTGTGTCAAGCAATGAATCCTTGATCTCAATCTGGATTTTATGTGTTTGGCTAAAATGTAAAGCAAAGAAACTCTGCCTCCTGCTGATGCACAGGGTTCGATCGAGTGTGAACACAGGACGAGACTCTTCAGTGTCTTTAAAATGACCAGATACTGAACAGGACTGTGGTCTCTTTATGCCTTTCTAGTTACTATTACTTCTATTAATATTATTGATTATTTTAAAATTGCCTTCCATCATACAGTCCTGAGGTTATTAAGATTTCACTTTTGTCTGTTTTAATTTAACCATGCCATTATGCCATGCCTCTTTTAGTCTCGTGGTGAGGGTGTCTGTGTGTGTGTCTGTGTGTGCGTCTGTGTGTGTGCGCAAATGCATTTGTTGTATGTGTATGTGTATGCATGGAGGGTGGGAGGGACGGGTTTACTTTATTTTTTAAATGTTGTAATGTTTTTAAATGCTTTGTTGGTTTTAAATGTTGTAAAGCACTTTGCAATTGTTGTTGTTGCACATGAAAAGTGCTATATAAATAAAATTTGATTGATTGATTGATTAACCATTACAAGTTGTAGCATCGGGCGAGGTTCCACTTTCACTGTCTAGTTTCTGGGATTATGGTGCTGAGACACCAGATGGTTAAAACCCCTGAGACCCTGTAGATAAACTCTGCAGGTGCTGCGCTCACCTTTTCGTGGAAGATGTGAATAACCAACACCAGGGTCACCTCAGTTAGGACCAGGAGCAGCAGGATGGCAAAGAACTGCAGAACAGGGAAAAGTGTTTTATATTCAGGGGCATTGCGCACAGATTAACATCTGAAATGTGCAATATTTAAACACTTCAATCATATCATAGTTTATTTTATTATGTAAATATAATGCCACTGTTTCTGTAGTACGCCCAATCCCCACTTAGAGTGTAAAATCCACTTTTATTAAGTTTCAGTAACCAAGACGAGTAACCAAGGCTTTTTGGAGTGGACTCACCATGCACAGCAGGCAGCGCTGCTCCTTCAGGGCCCCCAGACATCCCAGGAAACCCGTCACCATTGTGATGCCTCCAGCCACCAGCAGCAGGTTGGCGGCCGAGAGCGACGGGAAGGACAGAGGAAGAGAGGAAAACTCGGCCTGCGTGAAGGACAGCCAGACCCCGACGCCGAACAGGCCGCATCCTCCGAGCTGTTTGGGAAACCAAAGGTCAGAGCAGAGTCAGAGCGCAGCACCGAGGGCAAAACTGGGCAGAAGAAGAAGTGGTAAATCTTTGTAGAGGCAACGAAAAACTGGCAGAAACACAGGAAACGTCAACAGAATGAACAAATGCGACAACAGCTGTGGACACACTGGAGCAAATACTGACCCAGAAGATGAGATTAAAGACAAACATCAAGTATTTGACGCAGCATAAACACCTCCGAGACACCGACATCCTGCAGAGCAGAGAGAAGAGCAGAAGGACTCATTTTAAACAACTCTTCACATCACCAGCTGCTTTGTTTTTTTCTCTTTATTGATGTCTAGAATCAGTGATGAAACAATTAATGTAGAGAGCAAGAAGGTTTTCTTGGTGCATGAAGCAGTAAGAAATGCTTGTAAAGTCAGTTTCAGTGCAACGGTTGAAGATTCCACTGGGACCGACTTTACTTCAGCCTCCACAGAAGGAAGTAACACTGACCAACTCTTTAAATATGTCCGTTTATGTACATTATTCAGCTTTAGGTCAGACCTGAAAAATGCAGACTTATTATTTAAATCCAGAATTTGTTTCGTGCCGTCTTCAGTGACTAACCACAGTTTTTGTACCGATCTGAACATGCGTGTGTTTTCTGAACCAACAACATTCACGCTGGAAGTCGGATTTGTGTCGAACCGACCGCTGACCCCGCGCAGGAAGCGAAGCTGCTGACAGGAAGGAAGCTCCCTCCCCTACTCGCTGGACGTAATTATACTTCTGAAGGCATTTCCCAGGATTCTGAGTCACAGTTGGAGTAGTGAACATACCATGTAAACGTATGCACCAGGGACACAAACACAGAACGCCTTTATGAGATTGTTCCAAAAAAGTTTTTAAAAAATGGACCCACAGAAATGAATCTAAACCAAGTGACTCTCCGATGTGGTGCTCCTTTATTGACTTGCACTGATTAAAAACATCATGTTGACTCACTGTGGGTCGTGTTGCAGCAGAATATGTGAGTCCGACTGAATGCTCATACATGTGTGTGAGTTCATCAGAGGAGGGCAGCAGTCACACTTATTGATCAACCAAACACAAAAACTCCGTTACAATCCAGTGGTTCTCAAACTTTTTGAGCTACGACCCCCCAAGATAACATAAGTTTGTGTTTGTGACCCCCCAGTTAGAATTTTTAATATGAGTAATAACTCTATTGTTCATGTGTTAATGCGTTAAAAACTAATGTGTTCATTCCACAGATTAATCTCTTTACATGAACCCATTCATTTTCTTTTAAATGAGTGAATGAACTGAATTTATTTTGAACAACTGAAAGAGAAAAAAATATATAAAAACAAAAGAAAAAATTTTAAAAAGAGCAAAAAAGAATAATAATAATATCACATATTCAAATCATAATATTAACAAGCTCGATAAAGGAGTGGGAACAAGTATGCAGTTTTAATTTTGACAGCCTTAATACGCATTTATTTGGTAAATGTAGGCTTTCTTTATTTTATTTTACAATGATCTGGCGACCCCCTGAAATTATCTTGGGACCTCCAGAGGGGGTCCTGACCTCCAGTTTGAGAACCACTGTTTTAATCCATTTAAAGTCTCACTCTGACTCTCTGACGCCTGAAAACACACAAACCTGTTGTGTTAGTTTTTGTATTTCTTCCTTGTTTTTTTAATGTGAATTCTGATTTATTCTCTTTAATGTCCACGTAGACGATGAGAACGGAGCCGGAGATGATTTTTATCCAGATGTAAATAAACCAAACCAGTTTTAATCACAGCCTCCATCTTCTTCTGACATGAGGAAATGAAATTTTTCCACAAAACCCTCTTTTGTCCGATCGTTTTTAATCCATGGTGGACTGCATCTACCAAGAAGTTCCATCACGGCAGATGTTTATCTGATAGGAACTCAATGGAAAAAGGAAATGATTCATCATTATTGAGGCCAGTGCTTCAGCGTGGAGATGATCTGGTGACGGATCTCTAGAACCACAGAGGTCAGTTATTTAATTCACTAACACACATCTAAAGGCTTCTTCTCTGAGCGTCCTGTTTTTAATGTCTCTGATGATGCAGCGTGGATTTATTTTTGCAATATTTGAAGAGTTCATTTGCAAAAGCAGATAACTCCATCTTCACAAACCTTCAGAAAACCCACTGTTTCATCGTCTACCTGAGACAATATCAAAGTTATCTCTGTTTTTGTCATTTCTACTGAATCAAATCCACTCAACTTCACTTTGATTGATTTGATCGCAACCAAACAACAACACGTCTTCTTAAAATCTACGAAAATGGAGTTATCTGTTTTTGCAAATGAACTCTTCATTTATTTCAGATTTCTGACGTTTCCTCTGGATGCAAACTGATAGAAAGGCGATGAGAACCCTGAAAACTGAAGCTTTATCCTGCAGTTTAAGGTTTACTTACTCACTTGTTCGGGAGCTTTCGACCACATCACATGGTCCTCATCCTGCCGCGCACACACGTGACACAAGATCCTGATAGATTCTCTCCTCTTTATCTCCACAACACAATGCTTTTTAAAAGTGTTTCAGTCTCTGATGGATGAATTAAATCTATAAACTATAGTTTAATTTTAAACTAAATTCCAAACAGTGATAATTAGGAAGAAAAATATTTGTCTGGAATGTTGTAGTTAATTAAAGTAGAGTTTCTGATCCTCATGTCATCTATAAGATCTGTTTAGCTGCAGTTCAGACAGACTTTACCTGGAGATGAGATTCACTCCTTTCAAATCTCAGTTCAAGCTTCTTTCGTAAATCCGACTCGGCGCTTCCACTTGGTCTCTGACCCACTACAGACTTGTTGCCCAGCAGTCTCCTATTCTTGTCCACTTCCTCACTGCTCAGCTGCGTCCGCCCGCATTCCCGAGTTAAACTGTGGATTTTCCAGAATCTGAACTCAAGCTGACTTTATATAATTTCCATCTTGGAGCGTCTAGTTTCGTTTTTGTTCCCTTTTTTCTTTTCTAGCAGAGCTGTGTCTTTGTCTGCCCCTCTGTCTCCTCAATTATTTCCAGATGTGTGTTGTTGCTCCTCCTCTTCCTGTTTTTCCAGAACATGTTCCTCCTCCAGACGGATCCCCCTTCGTGTCCTGTTCCCTCTCAGCTGATGCACAAACTGACACAGCTTCTGGTCCAAAACGATGGATTTACTTCACGTTCCCAGCGTGTCGTTGTTGTTTTGTGATTCCTGTCAGTGCAATACGAACATCAGCTGCAGGAATAAGAACTTTGAAACCTTCATATCTTTTGTTGTCAATGAATGAGCGAAGAAGAACTATTTTTATCTAATTACTATTTACAATTATATAATAATTTACAGAATCTAGAAGTGACTTATCGAACCTACATGTTTTCATACAGCTTCATTATTTGTTCATATATCTGTGACTGTTTTTATAGTTTCCTAATACACCAAATAATAATCTATCCCATTTGATTTTCTTCTTCTTTTCTTATTATGCATTTAAAAAAACATCTGTTTTTGTGAATGCACTGATGGGTTGCTCCTTTATTTCCTTATACTCTGTCAAAAGACAATAAAAGAATTAGATAGACATAGAAATATAACTTCTACTAGAACTTATCAGCAGGACAAAATCAAAATGAACCTCGCCTGTGGTGTCCAAACCAAAAAATATACAGGAAGTAGCACCTCGATCCGGTGGTGAAGACTTTTGTCTGAGTTCAGGTGACTTGATTGGAAGTCTGGTTAATATATTTACCAAAGATTGAGCTTTGGTCTGAACAGATCTTTGAATGAACAATAAAAACCTGGGAGCTTTCATCACATTTATTCATTTTCCAGCAACAAGTACAAACATCCGTTAGTTTGGTTCATATTCTGGTTTCACTGGTGCCTAATTGTCCATTTCTACCATTCTGACAGTTTCCGGTGAATGTAGGTAAAAGAGGAAAATGTTGTTCTACTTTTCAGTGCACATGTGTTTGTGTGGAAGTTTTACTCATATTTCTCTACATGTAATAGTAAAGATTGCTTCACAGCGTGCAGCGTTTAGTGCTGTCGCCTCACAGCAGGACGGCTCTGGGTTCAGACTGGCTGGAGTTTGCATGTTCTTGCTGCTCCTGGTGGTTTCCAGAGACATGCACAGTCAGCTAACTGGCTGTAGAGGTGGATTTTCACAGCTGTCTGTCTCTGTGTGGTTTACTGGTGACCAGTTTGGGGGGAAACTGGCCTCCAGCGCCTCACGATCCTCTGCAGGGAGAAGAAAACACAGAAAATGTTTCGTTTATTTCATCTACAGACATTTTCTCACGTGATTCTTAAATTATTATCAGACATGTACAAGATGCTGACGTCTGAATCTTACTTATTCTGGTCTCGTTATTGTTCCAAAATATTGATTTAACAACATTTATGGACAGTTTCAGGAAAGTGTCTTAATCAATTACTCATCACATATAAAGGTTACTAATTTCATTACTCTTCTGTTTACTTTAATTATCCATCCCACATCTGTCAGACCCCTTTAAAAATCTCCACATCCTCCACAACCACATCTGTTTTTTTGTGTGCACGTACAGAAACAGAGCACTTTGTGGTTTCATTAAGTTTGGTGGCTTCGCTGAGCAGCAAACTGAACTCAGAGAAAAGAAAATGAGCTCCAGAATGTCCCTATAGATGATGTTAGTGGATAATTGGAAGCATTCACTCCCAGCAAGACTGCAAGGATGTGAAAGTCATTAATAGCTGTGATCACTGAATTTCAGATTGGATTCTCTCACACTGTTTGGACCACATAACTGCGAAACATGCTCCGTGTTACACCAACAGAGGCGACACTGACCCCAGCTACTGGCAGCTTCTTATCCGCTGGATGGGTCCATTCCAGCGGTGAAGGAATACTCGGCTTTGTGATGCATGATCAGCTTGTTGTTGACAAAGTAAAAACTGTCCGAGCGCGTCTCGAACGGGTTTCCAATCATTTCCTCAACTGACGAGAACAAAAAGACACAAGTTCAGCAGCAGCTAGACACTGTCAGCAGCGTGGTTTCTGACTATGTTCACACTAAAGCTCTCTGAGTACTATAAAACAGGCCGGGTTAACCTCCAAACAATACTACATATATAGTCGTCCTCAAATGTATTCACACCCTCTCATCAAAGAAGGAAAACAACAGCTTCAGTCACTGAAATAAGTTGAAATTGACAAAAGTAATAAATAAAAATTTAATGAAAATCATGACGTTGCTTTTGAATTGTGGTTCAACAGAAATATTAAAAAACAAAAACAAAAGACAAACAAGCAAACCAGCCTGATGGGACCCGTGAACTCATATTTAGTTGAACAACCCTCTGAGCCAATCACTGCCATCAGGTGTTTCCTGTAACTCTCAGTCAGACTTGTGCACCTGTTGACAGGTATTCTGAACCACTGCTCATCAGCAAAGGCCTCTCATTGTTCCAGGACAGTTTTGTCTGTTTTTTAAAATTATTCTTTTCAACCACAATTCAAAAGCAACATCTCATTTCACTAAATTATAATTTAGCAAATTTTTTATTTAATAAATGGAAGGGGATGAACACATTTGAGGACGACTGTATATATTTAACTTATATTTAGTATATTTGTGGGTGAACACTGGACATTCACTGCATCTGACGAAAGCTATCTTGGAGTAGAATTGCATCATAATCGTACCAATGTTTGGTTCCAGGTCAGGCAAGCAGTAGATGTGCTCGCAGGTGTTTCTGCTGTGCGGGATGCAGAACCCGATCTCAAAGTCAAAGGTTTTGAGCAGGAGGTTTCTGAAGAAATGCCTCTCGATCAGACGGAAGCGGTTCAGTGCTTTGCTGCCAACCGTGAACTCCAACCTGAGAGACGAGCAGCGATCAGCTCAGGAGAAAACACTTTAACATTCACAACATGATGCTAAGATGAAGGAGGTATTTAAACAGTCTGCAGGTAATGATGAAGGTTCTGCTTCTAGAGGAAGAACTTCCTGGTTGACTCTTGACCTTCCTGACCAAGCAGGTGATAGTTTGTGTTTTCTACAGCTTTGTACCTACAAACTGATGATTCTAGGATCTGAAGCTGCTCTGAAATGGCTCCGAGTGACTTTCTGACTTGTTCAAGTCAATGATTTGCATCTTTTCAGATCTTTGTTGAACTCCTCAGACTTTCCCACTCCACTTAAATGGGCTTTCTGTATTACAATGTGAACTATATTAAACCGATGGAGCCTCAGCTGTCCTCAAAACACGTGTAATGAATGATTTCTTATTTTACCGGCATTTAATCTGAGGGTAAAGTATCACAGACTCACGTGGCTCCTATTTCTCTGAGGGTCAGAAACGCAGGAGAGAAGTGATACCGGATGAATCTGTTGGTGTCCAGCTCAATGATGTCTTGAATTTCTGGGGAAAAAAATTAAAAGAAATGTTCAGAAAAGCCATAAGAACTGAACGATTATCGACACAATGACCCACTGAGCATCACTCTGTATATGCATAAAGAGCATCTTTTTCCATTCTATCAAGAACATGTTCCTTCTCTTACTAATTTAAAGAGATGTAAAAGCACCTGTCGGCTGATGTTTTTTGATGTCCAGGATGACAGCCCCACTGACCACATCCCTGATCTTGAAGCGCGAGAAGTTCACATTGTAGATGTTGTCCTCCAGTGAACACAGGTACTCTGTCAAAATGAACCTTTTCAGTGGTATTGAAACAGGAAATATGCGTATTGAAGCTGGTAACTGGATGAAAGAGACTGTGTGTCACTCTGGTCGGTCGGTAAGATCGTCTCTGGAGTCAGGGTATCGTCTACGGGTGTATGTTCAGGGTGTGAGCAGCACAGAAAGGGTTAAACTGAGACAACATGAATAATATGCAGCTGTGATGTTGTTATTTAAAGAAAACATTCTTTATTTTGGGGAAGCTGAACTCTTTCAGGAGGCGTCACTGCATCCAGTAATCCTGAAAGAAAGTGGAGCTCTTCCTTCAGAGCAGTTGAGTTTCACCGTGACAGTCAATCAGTGGAAGCATGAACAAATCAAAGCAACTACAAAGTCTGCAGGTGTTGCTGTCCAGTCATCTCCTCAGAGCAAAGGTCTGTTTTGAGTGTGACTGATTCGAGCGCATGATGAACTTTACATCATGCGCAGAAAGGAGTCAATAATGGAGAGTAGATCCAAACCATCTGAGGACATGAGAGCAGTATTAATATGTATGTGTTTAATCAGTAGAGGGACTTCTTTAGATTGTTGCTGCTTAATTCTTCATTTAAAGATCTTTACTAAATCTTCATAACACATGCTATTTATATGCATGATTCATTATTACTGAACCACCTGATGCTTTATAGGTTTTCAGCATTTAACAACCAAATGAGAGACGTATGTAAAAGCATCCTCCATATTTAAACGCAACATCAACATTGCTTCTTATTTCTGCATTTCAGACAAACCAGCTGAGAGACTCACCTTTGGTGTAGCTGTTCAGCCTTAAGACGTGTTGTGGGCCAACGGGTTCCCCAGGTCTCCATTCAGTCACCACCTCCTCTTGCTCTGCTCCTCCTGCTGTGGCTCCTCCTGAAATAAAGCCGTTCCAGTCCTCCACGCCTTCACAGACCAGCATCTCTTCTTCCTGCTCTACTCCGCTTTCCCACGTCGGCGTCTGGTATTCCTCCTCTGCACTGGTTTCCTCCTGACCCTCCATCTAACATGCTGTTTCTTGCAGCCAGTTGGTCTGAATAAACCAGGTTCAGTTTTTTTTTTTTTTTCAAGGCCTGTTTGCAAAGTGAGTCAAATAAAGCTGCAAAGAATATAATCCACAGGTCAGGCTGGTGTCTAAACTGATTATGTCAGTGTGGATTTGGCAATTAAATCTGCACACATACAGCGTCATGTGATGCTCCAAGAACTGAGCACGCTCAACACTCTGGACAACATCTGCAGCGCAAAAGCAAGAACATGTTTTTTGTGCATCGTGATCCCGTTCTTTCTTATTTATTAGGAAACACATTAAGCACATTAGGAACCGATTATTAGAGAATGCAATAATTAGATGACTGTAAGCAACACATGCAACAGACTGCTTACTTGTTGTTTGCAGAGAAAAAAAAAGTGTGAAATCATTTCTGTATTTTTGACCAAATATAAGACTTTGCTGCAATAGTCAACATTTCTGAATAAACTGATGGTGCTCCTGTCTGTCTCATACCAGCAGATCTCACATAGCTTCTCTTTAACTAAACAAAGATGTATTTGACAGCTGCCTCAACGAAGCAATAATAGTGCAATGTCTGGTATCACTGTGCCCCCTCAGGGTCTTAAAGAGTCTCAGGAGTTGGTGGATTTGAGGAGGACCACTGGGTTAGTCGTCATCAGGGGACCGAGGTGGATTTGATGAGGATTACAGGGAACTTAGTGTCCATGTAGACAATAAGCTGGACTGGACTGAGACTCTGTTCAGGAATCTTCAAGAAACTCAGACCTTTAAATGTCTGTGTGGGAATCCTGAGCCTTCATCATCATCATCATCTCTATAAAAAAGCAGCAACTAGACGCCTTAATGCCTGTTTTCAGTTCTGACTTTCTGCTCCAAACGGTCCCCTAAAGGCAGCAGGGATCTAATATGTTTAGTTCTCAGAGGGTTTAGTCAGGAAACCCAGCAACAAGTGTGTTGGTTAAACTTTACAAGCAAAGCAATGCATTTCTGCAGTGAACACATGTTAAACTCTCCTGGTACCAGTGCATCATTAGTGAACATTATTGGCATTATCAGGAATCATCCTTCATATGCAGGCTGATTGTCTATTTGTTCTTCCACTTCTTAGACTAATGTGTTCATTAGCTGACTCTGGAGTTCTGCTGTTGTCACCTCCTGTTTTGTGTTGATTGTTACCTTTCTTGTGTGTCTGAGTTGGTTTTACGTCTAATTTTTGTCACGTTCCACCTCTGAGTCGCTGCTTCCCAGTTAATTTAATGTATTTACTCTTGTGCTTCTCAGTTAATCTGTTCCTCCTGTACGTCTGGTTTGTGCGTTGCGTTTCACTTTGTATTCTTGCTTCAGTTTTTTTGTTGTCTTTGCAGGTTTTAGGTAGCCCTTCGCTTGATCTCTGTGTTTTCCACTTACCTCCTTGACTCAAGTCAAAAGGCGACCAGATGTTATATCTGACATTCGTCCTCGCCACTGTTTTCTTGCCATCTGACAAGCCAACCTCCAGTTGGTCTGAATAAATCAAGCTCATTTATTTTGAATAAAGTAAGTAAAGCTGCAAAGCAACGTCCCTCAGTAGAGGTGAGATCTGTGGCCAAACGTTGGGGACAGGAATCCATCTCGCTCACGAGGCCTAAAAATTGAAGCTTAATGCCATTTTTCAAAGCAGAATTAATGCATCTGTTCCAGCATGAGCATAACAACACCTGTTATCTCCTACATAACCACATGGTCTGCTCTCATTGTCTCACAAACGTATTGACTGGATTCAATCTCAGACAGATTTGCACGTAACCGTTACTCACATACAGAATATGATAATATGAGTTGCAATGCTCTTTTTTTTTTTTTTTAGAAGGTTTCGTTTTAATTTGTTTGCATGAGATGAACTCTATAAGCTTACAATGCAGAGTTTTTCTGTGAAACAACAGGTTGTACAAATTCTTTCACAAAAGCTGCTCAGAGGTTTAACTAGAACAATAAAATAAGACAACTGTGGGAAACAAAAACCTAAACACTGTTTTGTGACTAATGCTCCTTCACACACCTCTTATTGGATTGTCTCTGTTATTTTAGACACATCACGCTCTGAAGTAGCTTGAACACCTGGTGCTGGACTCCTTACAACCATTTACACTGCAGCCATAAAACAGTGGATCTTCATCCAGCTTCTCCTCTAACAGCGTCTGTATGAATACTGCACTACATAAAAGTGGTGAAGGAGACTGCTCCCCGTTGTGTCCTGTTTACATCCTTCTATTCTATCGGCTCGTCCTTCCTCCCCTCTGGCATCACATCCCAGTCCTCCTCTTCGTCCTCCTCTTCCTCCAGAGTGCAGCCTCTCATCTGACCCCACAGTGGAGCCAGCCGGCCTTCGACTACCACCGCCATCGGCTGGATGATCTGCTCCCTGCACCAGACACAAAGACAAATGGTCATAAATCAAATACACTGTTCATGAACATGTGCATCATGAAGTGAGCCTCACTGTGACAGCCGGTTGATCATGCCGATCAGATAGCGGGCCTCCTGCTCCTTCTCCTCCTCCGTCATGCCCTCCATCGGATCCGGCTGCTCCGCTTCCACCCGACCAGTCACCAGGTTAATCCTGGCTTTGGCCTCTCGGTATTCCTCCGTGTCCGAGTCCGAGTCGCTGGAGTACTGAGCAGCGTACTGGCTGTCGCCTGAACCCCGCCTGCCGTTCAACAGGCCCCGAGCTGCCAGCAGCCCTGCAGCGTTGCCGTAACCCGTGTATTTGACAAATCGGCTGACTGGGAAGAAACACAAGTTGTGATTTAGTCCTATTGGTTTGATATCAGTGGGAAATTTTCTTTGACCACGAGAGGCTTTAATTAATCTTTCACCTGCAGCAGGACTGATTAGAGATCAGATGTTATATTCTGACATTAAAGTGATTTGTACAGTATTTAACACTGTTGCAGATCTCTGTGTCGTACAGTTACTGCAGTCTGCATATTTTTATTTGTTCTGTCAGAAGGAGGCAAGCGTGGCAGCCTCAGAAGGACTCACAGTGATTCTAAACTGCATTTTCATTTGCCGGATATCGTGAGTCAGAGATAGTTTTGCAAGGTTAGCGCGGTGAACGGTACCGTTCTCTTTGCACAGCACAAACAGCAGCTCGGCAGCACAGTGCTTCACATCTGTGTCGACGTGGGTCATGAGGCGGACCAGTTGCCCCCTCAGACTGACGTCCTGCTCGGGTCGGATGGCGACGTCCCTCAGAGGAGGTAAGATCTGTTGGGGAGTCGGGTCAGACGGACAGTGGTAGAGACTGACTCAATGCAAAATTCACCTGACAGGAATCCCTTTGACCTTCAGGTATTTAGATTGAATATAATATAATCAAATTGGCTTTGCCTTCTGTTGGTCACAACCTCCTTTACAGCCTAAAATAACCTGGAATGGGAACTGGATGTGTGATTCAACACCAGAACTGATCTCAGAACATCTTTTTCAGAGGAATTCAAATCCAAGGATTCAAAAAATTCCCAGTTTTTAAGCAAAACGTAGAAGAATTTTTAGCATGACTTGGCACATTGAATCTCTGTGAAATGCAGCAGGATGGTTTCCTGATGCACTGGTTTCCAGAGTCCTGCTCAATTTACAGGCTTAACGAATGTATCAGACCACCACCCAGCGTCAGGTTTATGCCACAGCTGCCCTAAACTAACAGCACTGGTAATAACAGAAATCATTTTTAATGTTTCTGTGAAAGGTTAATATACCAGTATGTCAAAGCTCTTCAAATCTAATATTTTTCAAAAAAATTAAAAAATAGCAAAGCACATTCTTACTTCTTGATTAAGATGTCAAATTATAGTTATTTACTTGCGTTCCTGGACAGAAGAATTAGTTTCAGTGGTTGAATGTGATGCTTGATTCATTTCTGACTTCTCAGAGAAGTCCAGTGGCTCAGATTTGGGTATAAAAAGGCAAATTTTAAAATTCCTCATTCATGTTCAAAATGGTAAAATGTTGAGAGCTGAGTGTGAATTAAAGCACTTCATGATGCTGGATGGTCGATATATAGATATACAATGTATTTGGTGAGCTTTGACAAAATTAAAGTTGAAGAATCATCTCACCTTTTGCCGCAAGTAGTGACGCGTCTCCCTGTGAACTCGAGAGCTCTCAGTCAGCAGGTTCAGGACAGGAGTCAGCTTCTCCTTCAGCTTCTGACCCTGAGCACAGCAGAGCAGGTCATCATCTGTCAGTAACAACATACTGGAACCCGACAAGATGTGTCAGTTTTGACATCTTTCAGTGGGAAAGATTAGATTTTGTCCAAACTTATCACCATCATTGTCTCCTCTGAAGTCATGCAAACCTGCCACCACGCCTCTTTACATACATACCTTAATAACAACCTTATGTGTGTTTGTTCTTTAAAATCAAATGAACTAAAAATCGGGACTTTAGGGTTATTATATATTTAATGTGTCTCAGGTAAAGATTTTCCTATAAATAGCAATAAATACTGTTTGACAACATGCACAGTGAACAAATAAATAATGTGAAATGCTTCTTTTAACCAGGAATTTGTCACTCTTTTTACATAACTACAATTCTGCTTTAAGAAACACAACTACAGATAATTAACCCAAACATGGCATATTCTGTTACTGTGATTAGAACCTCGTAGTTTAGCCTCGGACTGGACCGTTAGTTATCATCTTGGGGATGATAAAATATATCTGCGACCCCATCAGTCAGTCTGAACTGAAGAAACCTCTTGGATAAAATGTGAAACAATCTTCGAGAACTGAAAAGAGAAGTGCAGCTGCTTTTTGCTGAAGCTCTCAGAACACTTTCAATAAAACATCAAAAACCACAGACGCAGTACAGCAACAGCAGCTACACCCTCTCTTCAGAAAGTTTTTTTTCTTTTCTTTTTCCAAGAATGAAGGACATAATTAGTCCCATACAGACACAACTGTTCCTATATATTCTGTTTGTGTGGAAGGATTTCATTAGATCAGTCAGTGTCAACTCAGAGGTCAGTTGACCATTTCAGAATCTCTCGACACTTTTTGGGATTGATCTTTGGCATCTGAAACTGACATCTGCCCACTTTTTGGCTGAAATTCCAACATTTTCATAATTTTTCACACAGTAGAAACTTTCAATAAATCTCTTGCAAGTTGGTAATTTAACAAGATGCCACTTTCAGATGTCCATATCTCTTGAAGTATACGTCCTAGAGTCTTCACATTTTCAGGAGATGTTAAGAAGTTTCTGGTGAATGGAGAGAATGTTTTCAAGAAGAAGAGGAAGAAAGCTTTCATGTTAGTAGAAATGGGAGTTATGGCCAATCTAAGCTGACACAGGTAGACAAATAAATACTTCCCAAACGGCCAGATGGACATCTTGAATTATTGGTTGGTTGATGAAATTTGGGATATTAACAGATGGAAGTATCATCTGCTTGTGTGTCAAGTTTCAATATCCTTCCATAAGCCTAGTCAGCACTTCCCATTTAATGATAATTGTCAGGAGCAGAATGATTTTAGCATGAAGACAACATGGAGGGATGTTAAAACTTGGCACACAAGTAGATGATAGACTCTGAAGACTCTACGACATAGACTTCAAGAGATACAGACATCTGAAAGTGGCATCTCGCTCAATTTTAAATCTTTCTAGCTTCTTATTTTTCTTAAAAGCATGAGTAATGTCATTCATTCTTGCTGGCTGCCTTGTCTCCATTTAAGAGAAACTTCTCAACGTCTCCTAAAAATGTCAAGACTGTAGGACGTATATCTCAAATGATACGGACATCTGAAAGGGGCATCTTGTTAAATTACCAACTCGCAAGAGATTTATTGAAAAGTTCTGTTGGGTAAAAAATTACAAAAACTGAACTTCCGCCCCCAAGAAATGTCAGATGTCAAGTTCAGATGCCAAAGATCATTCCTATAAAGTTTCAGCAGAATCCAAGAAACCACCGCCGCTGAGTTGACACAGAATGACCCAGTTAGTGGATGAAGGAGCTGCTGTCGGGTCAAATATCAGACAGATGGACAGAAACACCCACCCTGGTCAGACGTCGGTCCATGAACAGCAGCAGAGCGTGGACACAGTCCATGTTGACTCCCTCCCACTGGTGGGACGTCTGGTCCAGTCGGACGGACAGCAGGACGTCCAGACAGGTGAGAGGCAGAGCCGACAGCAGGTTTACTGTGTGTCTGAGGACCAGGACATCTTTACATTAACAACATCATCCTCCTTTATCTGCTTCAGACCCATTCAGTTAAAGTTCCACCTCATTCGTTCATAGTTACGGCTCATGACAGTGTCTGACCCTTGGAGCTCCTCCCTTGTGTCTTCTCCATCGCAGGGCACCAGCAGGCAGTGACGTAAAACAGAAGCAAGGCGGCGATAGAGAGCAGCTTCCTCCTAAAAAACACAAACTGGCTTTAAAACGGGCTTCACTGGCTGTGCTCGTGAACAACAGGTTTATGTGATGTTTGAAAGATGTGAGCAGACATGGAGGGTTGAGTACAAGGACTCTGAGCTCCAGGAGGCAGAGATGGAAGACTTTCTCTGGTCACTGAGACAAACAAAAAGCTCCACAGAGCAGATTCACGACAACATGAGGAGGGGTTTATGGGATTGTCTTGATTGGGACAATGTTTATGTGGCTCCTGCAGATGGAAGAATCCTTCAGTTTTCAGGTTAACGAATTAAGAAAGCTGGTGCTGTGGAGCAGTAGAGGAGGTTTGGCTGATTATTGAGTGATTCAGGTCCTGGTCAGGAATACAGGATGAGTTTGTTTGGTCTCACTGCTGGCGAGGAGTCAGGAGGAGTAGATCTACTGGAGTCAGTTGGCCTGGTTCAGACGTAGGCATTTAACATCTCATTAAAACTTCCCAGGTGAGTATTCATGGATTATGTGCAACTGGGAGACCACAGGACAGACCTAGAACATGTTGGGGAACATATATCCCAACGCCTCAGATCTCCCAGTAGGAGCATCGTAGAGCCTTTACTTAATCACATAGAAGAAGCTGAGTCCTGACTCTCTGTCCTAGAAGATGACTGAGGTATTGTGCAACGAAGCATCAGTTTTAAAACTAAACACAACCTCGATCCTTATCAATTCTGTCAAACAAAACAGGATCACCTTAATTCTGAGCATCAGGGTGGAACAGTGTGTTCAGGCTACAGATGTGGTGTAATGGAGCTGAGGTTCTCCACACAGTTCTGCTCTTCTGCACAAACAAGCAGCAAACCACCAATGAATGAATGAATGAATGAATGAATGAATGAACGCTCTTACTTCGTCCGGCTCCTGCCTGTAGAACGTGTGTGCGATGTTGAAGAGAGTCTTGAGGACCTCAATCACCTCCTGGGACGTTTCCTTGGAGACGGGAGGAAGCGAGGGGTCGCTGAGCAACTCGTAGCCGTCAGCCCACTGCACAGCCAGGCAGCGCTCCAGAGCTCTGGTCAGCACCGACACACCTCGCTCCTGACGGGGAACAGGGTTATTCTGAAGCTGTAATGTCTAATGATTATTCAATTTATTCTAAAGTTGCATCCTGATCATAGAATAAACATCATGAGAGGCTCCTGCCATGACAAACAGTATCAACAATCGTGATTATTTTTGTTGTCATGAATTCATCCTCAGAATCTGGTACATTTCTATCACTACAATGCCAAAGAGTTCAGTTTTGTTTTGTTTTGCGGGATCATAAAGCTGCTCCTATCTGAGATCAGTGACCTGGTTCAGCTGCTGCCTCAGCTCAGGCCTCAGCGCCGTCAGTAAGAAGAGCAGTCGCAGCTGGTAAAAGTGTCCACCGGGCGGCTCGCTGCTGCAGATCTCCTGCTTCAGATTCTCCCACAAGCCTTGCAGAAGCCTTCCATGGAAAAGGAATGAATTCTACATCAGTCGTGTAGCACTCTTTGTGTCATATGAAACAGCTTTTCTTTTACTATAATGGGATAAATAAAGAAAAACTTGGATGCATGCAATTATTGGAAAACATTCTGTTGGAACTACTGGGAATAAACTCATTCTTAGTACTCAAATGATTAGTGACTTCTTCACTTTGTAATGAGTGCATAAGTGAAGTTAAACAGTGTTCGTATGTGTTTGAGACTTTATGTTTAGTAGCTTCAGTGTTGTTTCAGTTGAACCTTAACCTTAGCAGGAGTTTTATGTTCAGCGTTGTCATGTTACAGCCCAGTCACACATCTGAAGTGTCACCTGAGTGCGCTGGCCCTCTCCTGAGCTTGAGGGCTGTTGTAGACGACATTACACAAGACTTTGAGGGCCTCCTTCCTACACACCTCCCCATCCTCCTCTCCGTCCTCCTCCTCACTCTTCCCTGTCCGGATGTCTTTCTTCCCGCGGGCGAGCACCAACGGACCTCCATCACTTCGTTGCTTTTCGCAGTGATGAACGGAGCCGTTTGTGGCGGTGGCGGCAGCAGAAGCGTCCACAGCAGCAGAACTAACAGGACACGATGCAGCCTCGTCCCAGCCGCTCGCTGCTCTTCTGTGGACCGGCGGATCTTCAGCTCCTCCCTTCTCCTGCTGCAAGGTGATGCCTCCCAGGTGAGCCAGGGTGAAGAGGGCCTCATCGGTGACCAGCGGCCCCAGGGCCCTCCGGTCCCGGGAGAGGATACGAAGAGTGTGCAGGCTAACCTGCAAAACTCCTGGTTGTAGCTGACTAGTGATGAAGCACAGCAGCGCTGCAGCCAGATGCTGGAGAAGGAATGAGTCAAGAGGGAGAAGTTACAGTGATGAAGGCTAAGAAGGTAGAGTTGGAGGAGGAAAACTGAGAAATATGCAATATTCACATACAGACTTTAGGGATTTAACTCATCATGAATCAAACACAGAGAGGAAAGTGGACTCTCCATGCAGCTTTATGTAATGCTACAATAACTCGCCAACACACACTAATCCTGCTTCACCTGTCGCAGAAGAAGATCAGGTTTATCGTTTTCGGAGTCCGTGTCAGAATCAGAGTCAGGATCATAGTCCCTCACTTTGTTCTTCCTGAACTGACCGACAGAAACAAGAAGGATTAGAACCAGTAAAACACAACAACACAGCAACATTTCATAATTCACCCCTAATTCTTGATGGAGCAGAACAATGTCAAACTGTTTACATTCCTCATGGTTATTGTATGACGTGGATATGCTCCCTGGATCTGTGTCCTGTGCTGTTCAATTCAGTTCTTTGAATTACGAGAAAGAGAGCATCAGCAGAAAGTACTGATGTAGAAAAGCTGTCAACTTTTAGAGTTTATTAAGTGAAGCACTAAGACACTCATTGACTTCTGACTAATCCTCACTGAGCCAGCGGTTAGGGCACTCAAATGTCCAACAAATCAAAATTACATCAGCTCTCTGTGAAATATCTTTCTTATAAACAATCAAATACAAATACATGAGAACACTATAATAGTAATAAAACAGGCCTCAAAGTAGAAACTCAGCACACCTAAAGAAAAAACAAACTGAGTCCACCTGTGTTGGGTTCCTGACTGTTCAGTACATTAATTTAAACAGTAAAAAAGAGCAAATAGCTAGTGTTCAGCTTAGAAGTAGTGGAAATACTGTGATGTTGTCGTACAACCTCAGCACCATTCACTGCTTGGATGGTTAGACGTGAGGATAAAGGGTTGAGGAAAGATTATATTTGTTTGGTTTTATTTCATAGCAAGTAAATTACAATTAAATTAATTAGTAGAATTATTTTTCAGAATTTTTGCACTTCTTGACAGTGTTAATTGACACTAATCTACTAATGAAGGTTTGCCAGGCAGAGGCAGCATCTGCCAGCTGAAGGTCGACGTGGTTAAAACACTGAGTCATGAAGAGTCCAAGCAGCTTTGGAACATGCAGCGACACATGATTAACTCGTCTGGAAGCACAGGCGTAGTGACTAAGATTTCTAAGCACTCTTCCCAGATTACCATAAGACAGTGTGAACTCAGCACATCTCTCTCCGTTTATTTACCTCCTCCAGTTCATGTTGCTGCAACCAGTGGGTCCGTGAACACAGGCAGCGTTGAGATTGAAGCATTAAACAAAGATTTAGGAGCAGAAACGAAGCAGACGAACACATCAGCAAATCTGTTGATATGAGCTGGTTCCTGGACTTCATTAATTATAGTTGACCAGCAATACAATTCTCCACAAAGCTTCTTTTTTTTTTTTTTCTAGTTTGGAAATGCTGCAGTTTGGGTTAAGTTTGTTCACCAGTGAGACCAAAATGAAAATCAAACAGCAGCTTTAAAGACCTGCACAGCATCCAGGAAACTGCTCTGGACAAAGAAATGTTTTATTTTTGAAAAGAAATCTTCATCAGATCTTCAGTCTTATTATTACAAGGATGATTCTGTGAGATCATATCTGACTCTGTAGCTGGTTTAATATATGTCTATGAAGGCATGGTTTAATGAAGCAGAGCAGAAATGATCTCCACATGCTGCGACTGAGGACCATTGCTGGCTGCTAATGCTAATGCTAATGCTAAGCTATGAACAGAGGCTACTGCCACAGTGGAAGCCCTGAGTAACAAAAGGACTGATGCAATACTACTGGAAGCAGGCTTTAAATGGATTTACAAGTCAGACTAAAATAGATCAATAAATACTATTTACTTCCAGTTTGAGAAAAATTAAACAGACTGCTTTAATCATTGTGTTTTGGGTCACGGTGACTCTTTTGTGTCTTTTCAGGCAAACATGTTAAAACTAAAAAGCGAGCCAGAAAGTGACTCTGTCAATCAGAGGCGCAAAAACCTTCATATTGTGTTCTGTAATAAACTTTACAGCCACTTGGAGCAGCTACAAAGGTTCCACTGAGACACTCATTCAACATCGACGAGCTGATTAACTCCGATCATGTGGCTCAGGCGAGATGCCAAGAAGATTACATCACCGTTACATAATCATTACACAGGGATTTAGGGACATATTTGTAATGCAGGCTTCTGAATATCAGAAACAGATAATGAATCATAAAGACAGGATCAGTGGAGGCTGCTTCAGTAAGCTCAGAGGGCCAGAAAATAGCAGGAGAGAAATACAGAAAGACAAAAAAACAAAGAATAAAGAGAAGGAAAGCTGCGTAACAATTTGCGAAAAAGCCTGACCTTTCTTCTCTCCTGTTCTTCGGTGTTGAAGAAGAAACACTCTGCATACTGTAGATGACGGAGAACAAATCACAGCAAACATTTTATTATTTTGCAATAAAAAAACATTGTAATGGAACATGTGAGTGTCAATCGAACTCTACATTTGGAATGAAAGCGCCAACTTAATAATATTCTAAGGAAGATGGAAGCAGCTTGTTTAGAACACACAACATCCTGCAGAAGTAGTTCAGCTGTGTTCTTAGGGACTGACTGCACCATGTAGTAATAATGCTGCAGACATCCTCCACTTCATCCGCTACATCTGAGAGAAAGCCGTAAAATAGAAGCGAGTACGTCCCTGTGTAATATGAGTTAAACGTAAAATTATGCAATTGCATCAGCTCTCAATAATGGTAGCATTTCTAAGTAGGTTGTTTCTTCTGATGAACATTCAGGCCCCAAAGTAGACACTGAACGCAACAGAAGTAAAAATATACCAACATTTCTGTATCTCTCTTTTATATTCTTATAAATTTGTTGACTTTTTCTATATTATACTTGATATATTTTATATACTTTCTATATATTCTTATATTATCCTGTTTTATTTTACTTTACTTTATTTAACCTTCAGTGTATACCCTACCCTAATATTCTGTGTACCCCTTTGTTGAGTATTTCTGCTGTAACAACTGAATTTCCCTCTGGAATTAATAAAGTCAGTCTAAGTCTAAGATAATCCCTGACACACAAGCCAGACGACCTGTGATTTCCGATCAGTCAGACTGCATGAACACGGTTCTAAAATGAGCTGTGAACCGCAGAACTTTCTCAGTTTTGGACCTTTGTCCATCTGAAAGTCACCACATGGTAAAGAACTCTCAGAGGATTTGAAGATAGCAAGTCTATGAACATCAGTCAGCAACTAAAAACTAGTAAAACACTGTCAGCACTGTTGACGCTTGGCAAAGCTGTGATCACTGGAAATGGAGTTTCTGTGTATTTACCTCTATGGATTACTTCCAGGAAATAAAGATCCTTAACTTACTTTTTGGAACAAAACTTTCAGATGAAAGCGAAGAAAACATTCTTTGGTCAGATGAAGATAATTGTGTTGGGCTCAGATGGAGTCCAGCATGTTTGTTGTGAACCTGACGAGGAAGTAATTTGATTACTGCAAGTTAATGATATCTTTAATCATTTGAAGCGATATTACACAGGGTTGTATTCACTTCAGTTATATTCTGCTGTTTATATGAAAAGGTCCTTCGTTCAGGTAATCTTGGGTCAAGTGGACTGTGCTGTTTTTGGTTTGATCCGTGTAGTTTTGTTGTTAAACTAGAATCATTAACAATCTGGATTTGATGCTCGTGTCACGCTACCGTTCACGCTGATAAAGTTCACTGGAACGATGAGCTCGGTGGGAGCAGCGACCGCCCACGTCAGAACAGAGGATGCAGGCGAACATGCAGCGTGTTCGTCCCATTCATTCAAACCATCTAATTCAACCAATTAAATCCGTGCCTCCCGTTTCCATGGTAGCAGCCGTTCCATCACCACACTACCTGACCTGAGTGTTGTAGCCGTCCAGGAGGAGCTGCACAGCGTCCTGGTCTCCTCGGACAATGTTCTCGATGATCTGCTCCACATCCGGCACCATGTCTGAGTCCAGCATCCCCCCCAGAAATACAATGAATTAAAAAAAAATTAGCTAAAAACAGAACCTGGTGCATAGAAATGACAGAACATTGTTAAGAAGAGAAGCACGTTTCATTCTGACTAAACATTCTGGTGACTCTTCTTCTGCATTTGTGGTTTCATGATGGATCAAAACTTACAGAATTTACATTAAATGTATTGAAACAACAACGTTCAAGTCTTAAACTATTCATTATATACAAATACATTGTCTGACAGAAAGAAATGAAAACACATCATCACCAGAAGCATGTTGCGAGAACACACTCTGAGAGAAAACACTTCTTTATTTTTTAAACTACACATGCACACATGGTTTCACTCACCTGCAGTCGTCATAGAGACGGTGAACACACCCAGCAGCTTCTCCTCCTGTGATCAAACAAAGGCTCGGTAATCCTTCTTCTCCTCTTCCTCTGCACATCTCCTCCCTCCTTCGCTAAGCCTGGAATTACTGTGGACACCTGCAGCCGTGCAACACCTGCTTTCACCGTCATCGATTTTCTAAGGTCTGCTATCTTTTGACATTTGGAGAAAGGCATATGTCTAAAGCCATCTTTGGCTTTTACTAGATTCTTTTTGAAATAATTGCCACAAGAAAACAAAGGAAAGAACATCAATTTGGGCCAAAAATATAAGAAAATAAACCGACCAAAACAAATCACAAAAAGCCTCTTCATTGACTTTTAAATAGGAATTCTGTTGTGCTTGTAGAAACGAGCCATTCAGCAGGTTGGACAACAACTTTGTTTTCATTCTCCACCATTCATGGTGTTATTTTTCAGTGTCAGTAGTAGTTTTACCACAAAACACATTTGGTTATGAACACATGGTATGCAATTATTGCCATTATATTCCTACTCAAGCTGCACAGTCTGTTTAAAAGTCAGTCTTTAAGGAGCAGGTAGAATATGTTCTGCAGGCTCAGTTTGATTCAGTTCCCTGGTAGCTACAGTAACCCTATTCAGGACTTTCATGTTGTCAAATGTAGACGGTCTTTCAGGGTCCACTGGACCCCAAGAAAGAATATGTGCAAAATATTTGTTGGTATTGATTATAGACTTTAATAATCTGTTAAATACATTTTCTGATAAGTTGACGTATTTTTGATTCCAAATGTCCCTCTTTTTATATTTAAAAAATAAAAAAAACAATACCTGGCACCTAAACCACATGGACTGGGGTCCAAAAGACCCCAGAAGTCCTGAATAGGGTTAAACTGAACTGGGACCAGACTGTAAACAACAGTTTGGACAAAACTGCGTCTCGTCCTCCTCTCAGCTGATGGTGAATAAGATCACAGCTGAGAATTGGAGGATAAAAAAACTACAGTTTCTTAAAGTACCTGGAAGATACATGTACATTTTCCTGTATTTATTTTATTGCTTTAAACTGTCGTATGCTGCTTTAATTGCTGCTTTAATTGTTCATGCATTCTTATTTAAATGGGACATATGGTGCCATTATTACTGTTTAACATTCTTATAATATCTTAACAGTATTTAAGTGACCGTAGACTTCTTTTTACATGACTGCTGCTCTGGTAATCTTAACCTCACATTACGACGACTTAACCAAATAGACGGTGAATCTCTCCGTGCAGGACTCGATGCTTTTTGTTTCAAAATGCAACGTCTTTCTCGTGACTGAAAGTGAACCACAATAACAAAAACAGAAGACAATGTGGCATTCCTTCTTTTAATAGCGACCACGTTTCATATTCAGACAGATTCTCTTCTTGCTCAGGTCCAGACTGTGTGCAGCGGACAGTCAGAGTTTTAGGAGGAACAGATGCTCATTTCAGCTCTTCGGCTTCAAATCAGTTCTGCTTAAAAAAAAAAAAAAAACCTCCTCAGGACTCTTCACTGCTGCCACACATCAGCCTGTTCGGTGAAGCTACGACATTAAAAGCTGCAAATAGCAAATTAGACAGTTAAAAAATAAATACACAGAATTAAATATCACTTTACTCACACACACATAAGGTAAAATAACGTGTTTAACGCCTTCTGTTACAGACTCGTGTCAGAGAATTTAGTCCACAAACACCTGCTCACAAGTGTTTGTCTACTCAGTTAAAATGAAAGTCGCGCTGATGCTGAAGCTACTGCGAACAGAACAGTTCTGATCGCAGACATTCAGGTCAGAGCGACTCTCCTCTTTGAGGTTTGTGAGTCACGTCACACAGCAGAAGTCAGCCGATGCTCGGAGGAGACAGCCTGAGGAGGTCGACGCCTTGTTCTCTCCGTCAGCCTCCAGTTTTTAGAACAACATCATCCATTACGAGATTTAAAGTTCTCTTCCTCTTCCAGCTTTCTGCACCAACAGGTCGATCACGGTTTGTGTTTGAAATACGCTTCGACTGCAGGGGGGGAAGAAGGAGAAGATTGTATCAGACACGCTGAGTGAGGAAAAACACATGCTGGACTCTGATCTTCCCTCAGCTTACCTGCGTATTCCTGAGGCAGCATCGGCCTGTTGATGACCGTCTGGAAGGCAGCGATCCAGTCTTTCTGCTCCTCTTCGGTCTCACACGCAAACAGGAACTTCCTGTCCGGGGTCACTATGGTGATTCCGAACGTCCAATGGTAGCCCTGAACGTTGGGAGGCAGACCGGCCAGCACCGTGTATTCGTTTTCCTTGCTGCCGATGAACACCTCACCTCGGGCGTAAGCATCCTGCAGCCAGAGACAGAAACAGTCAGTCAGCCAGAGTTTCCCTGAAATTCACTTCTGACGAGTGGCATGAATGATAGCCTGAACGTGATGAACATAAACACAAATACAGCTCGAAACAAATTCATTAGACCACCTGTCTGACTTGTTAAGCGCTCTATACAGTCGTCCTCAAATGTGTTCATCCCCTTCCATTAAAGAAAAAGCAAAGTCCATAACAGTCACTCAAATAATTAGAAACTGAAAAAAGTAATAAGAAATAAAAATGTGTTAAATTATAATTTGGTGAAATAAGACGTTGCTTTTGAATTGTGGTTGAAAAGAATAATTAAAAAAAAAAAAAAAAAAACTCTCCCAGACTAATGAGAGGCCTTTGCTGATGAGCAGTGGTCCAGAACACCTGTCAACAGGTGCACAAGTCTGACTGAGAGCTACAGGAAACACCTGATGGCAGTGATTGGCTCAGAGGGTTGTTCAGCTACATATGAGTTCACGGGTCCCATCAGGCTGGTTTGCTTGATGTTGTTTTTTAAAATATTTTTGTTGAACCACAATTCAGAGGAAACGTCATTATTTTCATTAAATTTTCATTTATTATTACTTTTGATAATTTCAA